AATGCTTAATTAAGTTAGGCTTAATTGTAGGAAATGAATTATAAGCTATGGGTCACAAACATAGAAATGCTCTGATAGAGTGAAAAGGCCAATAAGACTTATCACACGACTGTGGTGTGAGTCAAAGATGCTCTAATGCTTAATTAAGTTAGACTCAATTTTAGGAAATGAATTATAGGCTATGAGTTTCTTAGTTAAGAAACAATCACCTTTCCTTACTAATGACACATGCCTTTATATAGTGGCAGACATGGACTTGGGGATGATCATTAAGCACGCGTGGAGCTTCTTAAGCAAGTTGTAAATTTGTACCTTCCGTTAATTTGTACAAGCTGTGAAACTATGAAAAGTGAAAAACACTCCAATAAATCACATAGCAACTATATTAATTGCTAATTGAGCTTCGCACGCTTGCTTGCTACTGATGGAAATTCCTCCCTCATCCTCTCAATCCCGCTACCACGATTAGGTCCCATTAACTCATTGAAAATCTCCATCTCCATTTCATGATTCACAAGGTTTGCAACATTCAACTGCAAATGCAAAGCCATGGAATCAACCAACCTTCTCAAAATAACATTCCAATACGCAGTCATCCGCATCTTCAAGTTTTACACTTCCTTAGACTTTCAACTTCAACCTTCACAATACCACCAATAACTAGCTTAGGGGGACGTTTCTCGTCATGCAAGATTCTCTCTATGAAAGCATTCTTCTTGGTCATAAGTCTATTCCATTCGGATGCATATTCAGGATTACAAGTGTAATCAGTATGTTTCTCCATTTCCACATCTCCAAGATCCAGTTCAATGACATTTCTTTCATTTTTGCTATGAGATTATGGCTCTTTGGGTGGCCAACTGAAGATGATAATAGTCTTGCGTGTTACGCATTAGCACAGATAGAACCACATCCTCACTATAACTCCACACCTGCTCAACAAACCTGATGGGTATATCTGAAATCCCTCACTTTTCCCTGCAAAATGAAAAGAAAAGCATTGCGCGGTAGAAAATTGGGAAGAGCAATACCTTTAGCTTCCTCCAAAATCCTCATCTCCTCTATTAATAAATTAACTTTTGGGTCCCTTTCGTTGCACACTTATGAAGTTCATCTGAGTACTGATTGAGGGTCTCGACCAGCCTAGCAGTGCAATGCATGTGCTTGTCATCAGGGTACTAGTCAAATTCTCCTCTAAAAAGAATTTTCCTGTGGGATTCTTTAGATAATCCAATAATGTGCATCAAAAGTGTAATAGCCTCACCAACGGAGGACAAACACTCTGGCATTTTGTTAAGCTCTGAAAGGTAAGAATTCAGCTTGTCATCAATCTTCTTAACAATAACTGGTAAATTCTTGGATATGCTCACTGTTCTAAAAATCACCGCCTAACGCCGTCTAGGTCCCGCCTAGGTGCTAGGCATCTGGCCACCACCCCGATTAATATCTAGACGTTTGAAAATTAAGAAAGAGCTCCTAGACTTGTTGAGGCCCGCTTAGCCCGTCCAGACTCGTTTAAGCACCCTCCTAGATTGCAACTCGGTTAGACAACAAATAGATAGCTCTCATGGGGATACAAGCAACCTAGGGTTACTGATACTGACGAGAAAAATAAAAGAACTAGGGTTGCTGTTTGAGTTTGTTTTCCTCCACCCATTTCTGATGAAAAGCAGGAGTTCGAAGAGTAAAAGATGAGAGATGATGATAAATTGATATTACAATACGTTGGCAAATATATCACCCTTTTGGACTTCCACCATTAACCACACTTTGTTAATTGAAGTGAAACCAGGAGTCACCTCAAAAATACGATACACATCTTCCTAGCAATGTAATTGATATTGGATGTGCTTAATTACTCCAGGAGAAATAATTCAGAATTATATTTACTTTGTACTGTTGTACTGGCACTTAGGATCAAATAATCTTTTTTTTTTTTGAAGCACCAAAGCTTATATTTGAGATGTAAAAACCATATTTCACAAATTTTCGGTGCATTATTCATGTTTAAGTTACAGGGAAGCAATTGTTTAATAAAATCAAAGTAATTTTGAAATGAAATCAAGTAAGGTTTTATGGGCCAAGAAATCCATTTCTGATCTTTAGACTTAGCAAACATGAAAAAACTTTCGTTCTTTTTTGCGTCGAGAATAAACTTGCATGACCTATTGTTGGAGTATCTATTTTTCATGGGGGAAGTAAGAGACTTTACATGTACTTATAAATAATTAGGTTACTTCTTATATTGTTAATTGATTTTATGGTAAAATTTCAACTTTTTCATGGTATTAAAGCAGGTTGTCCATCGTCACTTCACTTGATTTATTTTGTCCACCTGTTTGGCTTGAAAGTTTGCTCTCGCAATGGGGGAGGGTGGGTGCTGGAGTATTCGTCCAACATCGGGGAAAGAAATAACCTTGTATGTGCTTATAAGTATTGGGCTACTCCCATACTATCAATTGGTTTTAAGAGAAACTAATAAAAAAAGCTTTAAGACTTTAAATCTTAACCAAAATCATGCAAACAACATTATTTAATAGTTAGGAGAAAACAACCTAATAAAATTGGCCCAAGCAAGTACCTTATTGAGTTTCCAATTTTGCCCTTGACGACAAGCCTCTCTCTCTCATCTTTCTCGACATCTCCGCCTAAATTCTATTTTCATTTTTTATTATTCAATTCCAATTCTGCGTTGAATTCGACAAAAGTATCGCAACACAAAACTTTTTAACCCACAACAAGATGATATCTTAACCAAATGTCACCACCGAAATCGCCGCGCCGAAAGAGAAACACTAGATCTAAATTACCATCACATGGTCCTGCAAGTGGAACCAAAAAAAAAAAAAAAAAAAAAAACAAATGAAAAGCGAAAGGGGCTAAAGGGGGCATTTAAAACACCCTTGATTTGGGCAAAAACCGCAACTCGCTTGACCCCGATATTCTGGTAAGCCAGTCGAGTGAGGATCAGAGGGGGACATATTTGGATATGGCGACCAGATCCGGATTGCCGCTCCTAGTGTTGTGCACATGTTGTGGGAGGGGTTTCTATGTGAAAAAGGTGTCAACGAGGAAGATGGAAGAAAAAGAGTGTTGGCGGTTGAAAAGGGTGGGTTGCAGGATAGAGGTTAGGTATTGCTGAAGACAAAATACGATTATAAACAAGGTCGTTCTTGAGATTTTTGAGCTTCGGGGAGACGTTAAAAAATATGCCCTAACTTTATATAAGAAAATTATTTGTTTTCACATGTAAGATTTTGATAAAATTATACTTAGAAAAGAACTTCAAACAATAATTTAGAAACATGGAAAAACTAATTTTTTTTGTACCGAGAAAAGGAAACCAAAAAACCTAGGCTTACAAGTAGATAGATGATGAGTTTTGTTTTCCTTCTATCTAAACTTTTAAAATATTTTTGTATAAATCGTGATGTGTTTTTTTTTATTTACTAACCTTGTCAATAAGAGACCCAAAAATGATGATGTTTTCGAGTCTTTAATTGATATGTATAAAAATGAATGAGTACTAAATTAAACTTGTTGGTAACACGTCATATGATTTGCAAATTTTGTCTAAATATTTGGTTTACGCATTTTTCTTTGTTGAATGTTAGACTTGAATTGGAACGAATGTCATGCATATAGCATTTCGAACTCATGACCTCTCATTAATTTTAATCAACAAAAACCTTTTCGTCTGATTAAACTTCCTGATCATTTAGCTAAATTTCATAAATTTAAACTGTTATGAAAATAAATTTGTAAAAGTTAGAAAGTAAAAAATAAAGGAAAACTAATGAAAATGGCTTGAAAACTTTGAATTTTAACGATAAAAACAAAATAAAGGGTAAAATGAATAATACCAAAATTGATTTTTTAGTGTAAAAATGTGGTTTTTCGTTAAAGTGAACAATACCGGGAGTTTTTCGTTAAAGTTCCCAAAAAATAAACATAGTGTTTTAAACCCAAGACCTCCTCGTTAATTTTTAAACAACATAAACCACAAATTGCAAAAATTGGAAAGTAAATAAGCACACATAGTGTTTTAAATCCAAGACCTTCTCATTAATTTCAAATGACATAAACCACCAATTCTAGTTAAATTTCTTTGTCATTTAACCAAATTTTATAAATTTATACTTTAATGAAAACATATATGAATTACCACCTAAATAATTTTGGTGCCCCTAATTTTTTTGGGTCCCGAATGGTCGCCTAGCCAGCACTGAACTCGGGGCAGCCCTGATTATAAAACACTAAAAAATAGGCAAAGGACGCCGAGAAAACATGAAAAACTAAAGGAAAAAAAAAAAGCAAAAAGAAGGAAAAGAGATAGTAGAAGGGAGAAAGTCATGTTTTAAATGTGTACTTATTATTGTAAACTTCGTTAGGTTATAGTTAAGCGATGAGTAAGAACCTAGTGCCTAGGGGCCAAGGCAAGGGTTTGAAACGACATACAGTTTGCAATCGGTAAAATTTCAAGAAAAGAATGAGGAACGATTAAAAGAACGAAGAATTGTAAACAACTCGATTTAATTTGCCGAAATTCTAGTAGTTGGATTTTGCTTTATCAGTCTCATTAAGTCGTACTAGGTCTTTTCATGTTAGCGGTCCATGAACACTTTCTCCAACTCTGCTCGCAAGGAGTTGGAAGTCGTGCGTTGTATTGATTTCTTAAAAGTTTTAGAGCAAAATAGGGTGGATCAACTAGATCACAGTGGTACTTTATTGATATGTGAAATATGGAGGACTTGGACAGCGTATCACACCTTCCCATACGATAAGAAAAAAAAAAAGGATTTTTTCTTGGTTTTTAAGTTAAAATAATCTGACATTAACATAATTTTTCATTTTAATCTCTAAATTTGCCCTAAATTACCTTACGTCTTCAGTACAAAATCATTTTGGACATTCCACTATACTGCTTCCATATAGCTCATCAATTGAAGTAAAAGATTTGAAGCAACTAAGAAACGTTCTCCACCAAGTAGAAACAAAGATAAACAACATCCATGTAGATTATAAGCAGACTGCACTGTTAATTAAGTAGAAACATATCATACACAGAGGAACACATCGAGGTGCATTATAAACAAAATATGTTCTTGCTTAAGTAGAAACCGATCATCCACACATGGATGACAACTAGATAGCAAACTAGATATTAAACTAGAAATTAACAGACCATTGTTGCTCATAGTATGCATCACGTAATGCACACAAGTTAACCAGCATAAGTTATAACGCCGTCCATGATCTTACCAACCACCTCTTTCGAATCCTTGAGCTTTTTGATGCTCTTGTTGAGCTTCTCACGCTTGACTGCAGTTGATGGAGATTCCTCCAGCATCTTTTCAATCCCACAGCCGTAATTAGATCCGATTAGCTCTCCCACAACCTCCATCTCCATGTCCTTGTTCACAAGGTTTGCAACGTTCAACTGCAAATGCAAAGCCATACTATCAACAAGCCTTCTCAGAACAACCTTCCAATAGGCAGTCATCCGCATTTTCAAGTCGTAAGCCTGAGATAGATCAACACGTTTATGCTTCCTCAGGCCTTCAACTTCAACCTCCCCAATACCCTCTATAACTATCTTGGAAGGACGTTTCTCGTCGTTCAAACCGTCTAGGAAGGCATTCTGCTTGGTCATAAGCCTACTACATTCAGCTGCATATTCAGGATTACAAGTGTAATCAGTTTGTTTCTCCATTTCCACAATCTCCAAGATCCAGTTGATTGACTTTTCTTTCATTTTTGCTATGAGATTATGGCCAGCTCTTTTGGTGGCCAAATGGAGATGATAATAGTCTTGTGTATTATGCATTAGCACAGCAAGAAGCACATCCTCAATATAACTCCACACCTGCTCAACAAACCTGATGGGTATATCTGAAATCCCTCTCACTTTTCCCTGCAAAATGGAAAGAAAAGCGTTGCGCGGAAGAAAATTAGGAAGAGTGATACCTTTCGCTTCCTCCAAAATCCTAATCTCCTCGGTCAAGAAATTAACTGTTGGGTCACTTTCATTGCACTTAAGAAGTTCATCCGAGTACTGATTGAGCATCTCAACCAGCCTAGCGGTGCAATGCATGCGCTTGTCACCCGGGTACTCGTCAAATTCTCCTCTAACAAGAATTTTCCTGAGGGATTCTTTGGATACTCCAATGATATGCATGAAAGCAGTGATAGCCTCAGCATCGGAGGATAGACTCTTTGGCATTTTCTTGAGCTCTGAAATGCAAGAGTTGAGCTTGTCATTGATCTTCTTAACGATATCAGGCAAGTTCCTGGCTATGCTAGCAGCTTGAATTTGCACCAACTTGTCAGCCAAAACATGAATTCCCACCATAGACTTATCAATCTTTGAAAGAAGAGGATGAAGTCGAAACAGTCGGTCGGCATTTGCCCTTGCCTCCTCGTACGTTTCATCTCCGATCCGGTTCCGCACGCAGACATAACCTAGACCAATGTTGACATCATCAGCTGTAACCTTCTCGAGTAGCCCTTCTGGTGCTTTATCAACCTTGGTGACCACAGCAAGAGTCCTCTCACCGGTTTTATCAGCAGTCTGTGACATCTGAATCGACTCACAAGTAGGAAAATCAACAGTAGCAGACAACACATTTAGTATGATGCACTCTTCTGGTTTTATATACACCTTGATCATATTTTTAATTTGATCACAAATATCCTCAGGCTGACCATTGATTGGAACCCTAGTGATTCCAGGGAGATCAACCATGGTCAAATCAGGCACGCCCTTCTTTTTCACAAGCAAAGTCAATGGGGTATCTGAAATACCCTTACCGTCACCAGCAATCAAATTAGTAGCATTGACAATGTCTTCAGAAATGTTGTCCTCGTCAGTGTGCTCCACTCTGCCATTGTACTGCAAGGAGAGCTCCGGTTCACTACTGGAATGGTGTTGAAGCCTCATTACGAGAGGCACCCTGGTGCAGATACCGTGTCCACGTGGCAGGCTGATGCCGGCGAGGGATTCGAGGACGCTAGATTTACCGGACGACTGGTCTCCGACGACAACAATGGTGGGGAGCTGTATACCTTCCTCCATAACCATGAGGTTACGCAGCTTGTCAACTGCATCGAGCAGCGGACGGATTTTATCGTTGTAGGACGACACGATAGGCGCGTCCTCAACGACGTTGAGCGGTACAGCATGTTCTGCTCCAACAACGAGTGCTGCTGATGAACCTTCATCTTTGAAAGTGGTTGTGGTTGATGAAGATGATGAGGTGGTGGTTTTTGAACCAAGTTTTGTTTGCTTCCTATTTCCTTCCATGTCCGATGATGGCATGAAGGTAAGAAAGAAAGAGTGGTTGTTGAGGAAGAGACGATGAAGAGTACTGTCTATATAATGCAAACCAAAACTGGAGACAGGCTTGTGGAGAAAAAGATGAATTCTACTTTATTCCTTCACATGCAAAACGCCAAACCTGTAGAGTTCCAAATATTTAGTTGAAGTGAAAGAAGCAGACCCTTCAATAGCTACTGTGCTCATGGTACACAGTAGCACGATACACACTGGATATGATGCCCTTGTATTGGTATTTGCGAAGACTTAAAGGGGATGTTACTAGACAAACACAATGATTCGAAATCGCTTTTTTTTTTTTAAGATCAACCGTGTCGAAAAATCAAATAAATTGAAAAGTAACCCTTCATCTCATATTGTCAAAATTTTAATATTTAATTTAATAATATGGTTCGTTTATATGTTAATTAACAGTTAAATTACTATACAATTTTAAATTTAGTTGAGTTTCAGCATATTTGATCTATAAAACATGATTTAGAAAATAGACGTTTATTTTTATTGTATAATGCTGTAAGATGAGAAGAAAAACGGAGGAAATAAAACAAAAAAGTTCAAATGAGCAGTTTGCTCAAAAAAATGTTTTGAATCTCCCCATTTCTAATACTAAGCAAGTATTAAAGAGAGTGCAGAAATCTGGGGACAGGCATGCGCTGAAAGGAGGCAGATTCTATTTCCTCTCATTTTTCGTCCTTTTTTGTGATTTCTTGTTTTATATGAACACAGTTAAATCACGTTAATATTTTATATTTTTTTATAAAAATAATAAAACAAAAACAATATAATAATATAAAATTTTGATCTAATTTAACCGTGATCATATAAACAAAAAAACACAAGAAATGAGAGAGCATAGAATCTGCCACCGTGGTGAAAGGGGTAAAGTTAATTTATTCCTTCACATGCATAACCCCAAACCTCTGGATTTCCAAATATTTAGTTGAAGCGATAGAAGCAGACCCTTCGATAGCTCACTGTGCTGATGGGATGTCCACAGTACACAATACACTAGATATTATCACTGTATTGGATGTGCCAAGAAATAAGAGGATGTTACGGATTTTCTAATTATTTAGGCTTTTATTTTCAATTCCGGATTTTCGCCGAATGTTTTTTTTGAGAAGATTTTGAAAATTTGTAAATTATATTTGTTTATTATATATTATGAGATCAGAAATTATTTTAAATATCTTTGTATAAAATTAAACATAGATAGTATCTGATAAAAACTTACTATACGATATACAATGAACGAACACGATTTACAAATTATCACGATTCTCACTAAAAGAATCTGAAAATAATCTTATTGATTTATTTTCATTTTCAAATGTTAATGACTTTTTTAAAGATTAACTATGTCAAAAATCAAACAATAAAGGAGAAAGATTATCTTGACAAAGCAAAAATAAATGAGAAAGATTATTTAAAAAGTAAAGGGTTCCTATTATTATACAACGTTACAAGATAAAAAGGAAAATTGAAAAAATAAATAGAGAATTAGATTTTAATCTTTAAATAAGATGAAGTTTAGAAAAATGTCTTATATAAGATTAAAAATTGATTTTAGTCTCTATACTCTATTTAATGTCAGTATATGTATTTAATGTCTCTTTTTTTATTTATAATTTTATGGTGTTCATAAATAAAATTTTAAGATTATATTATAAATTTTAATTCTCATTATAGTAATTATCTTATATAAGAAAATATTTTTGTAGAGATTTTTCGAAACACTTATATTTTTGCATATTGTCTTATGTGCCATTAATTCATTATAATATATTTATGTACAAACATTTCGGCACATTAGTTTAGTATAATATGTTTAGGTATGAACATTTTAGTACACTAGTTTAGTATGTGACAGCCCGTCCCAGAAATATCAAAATCGTACGCGTGAAAAGACTATTTTGCCCCTAGTTCGATTTCGTTACGTTTATTGGTTGTTTTTGTGTTGTGTTGGCTTGTTTTGGGCCACACACTCACACTCCCTCACACTACACCTTCTGTCCATTTCCCTGTGACTGTCCCGAGTCCCCATTTCCCTTCCTATTTCCTTCGAACGTACGGACACACACCCAAAACCAACTAAACTTCCACAGATCGAGGAAACCAAGACCATTTTCGAGCTCGTGAGGATGGTAGGAGTCCAGCCATACCATTTTCAGGTGAGAACTCCATCGTTTTCACGTCGATTCAACGATATCCGATTTGAGGTACTATTCATGCACACGTGATTTCTCACATTTTAGGAAATTTCAAGCTTGTAGGAAGCTTGGTGAGGTCCCAAGGAGGCTCGGAGTAGTTCGTTTGAAGGAATTGGACGTCGGGATCACTGGTTTCGAAGTTGGCCGGAGTTGGGTTGTTTTCATAGGTGAGATTTCGAGGTTTTTAACCCTTGAAAGTGGTATGATTGTGTTCCTCTAGTTCTAAGCTTCATTTTGGTACTAATTTTGTGAAATTTGGGTGAAAAACGAAGAAGATATCGAAGTTTGAAAATTTTCCAGTTTTTCGGCGCCGGAGGCTCGCCGGAGAAGGTGACGAAATATTCCTGACGCCGTTGACGGAATATTCCCTACGGCGTCAGCTGACGCCGTCAGCGTGCCAGGCACGTGCCTGCGCATGGCCGGCGCGTGTGGCCGTGCCTTGGCCGGCGTGTGGGGGCGCGTGCGGTGGTGAAAAATTATTTTAAAAATATGGGGATGTTCGTGAGGTCGAGTAGATCACGTTGGTGTATTCATACACCCCATTTGAGCATTGTATGAGAAGTTATTTTCAAAGGTTGGTTATGTGCTTTAAAATTTACGTTTTTATAGTTATTTCGCATATAGGTGAGACGTATCCCGAGGACGAGCGTGGTCACTCGAGACAGGGAGGCTACGACCCTTCCACATACCAGTGAGTGGGTTTTTGGTTTTCCGTATATACCTATATACTTATATTTTCCCAGAAATTGATTTAAATGTTTACTAGTTATATGTCATGCACTATGTTATCGTCATTTATGCATCATTAGTTGCTTTATTGGGCATATATATTCATATACATATGCATATTTGATGCTGTGGACGCACAGGTAAGTGCCAGGTAAGTGTTAATCATGTTTACATTCCGTAGCGATTTGTGATGCTTAGAGAGCTCATAACCTGCACCCCCGGTGTTAGTGCTCCCGTCCAGAGTAGGGCACAGTCCTTCACGTGATGTTCACCTCCTGCACCACACGCTCAGCTTGGATCCAAGTTAGGTGCACAGTCATGTCGTACATACCACATTAGGTGGTTCCGACTCGTAGGTGACCCGCGATTCTTCGCACAGCCTTCACGTGATCGTAGCACTAGAGCGTTTAGATGTATTACACCCAGGCCTATCGTACAGACCACTTTAGGTGGTTCCGACTTGTGGGCAGGTTTAGTTATTGATATTGAGATTTGAGCTCTAGATTCAGCCGTACAGGTCACGCTAGGTGACTCCGGTTGCCAGACTATATGTTATGGATATGATTTACACCTGAGCACTTGCATTTCATTCTGAGGTTTCGACATGGCATATTCTTGAGCATGATTGGCATATCTATATATACGTACACATGTTTATTTTTTGGGAAGTATACAGGTTTTACGGCGAAGGGTTAGAACTTATTTGTTAAATGGTTTTCGAAAAGCTTTGTTTTTGCCCACTCACGTTTTTGTTTTGCGCCCATCCAAGTTCTAGCGGTCTAGCTGGTTCGGTGGTTTCCCAGAGGGCTTTCCCGGCATTTCTGACAGACGATCACCAGTGTAAGGCCACCTTCGGGTGTACTGTTGTCGCGTCATTTTAGTTGGACTGCTTTAGGCTTTCTGCTCTGAACTTGTGTCTCACTTACGCTAGCACTTATTACTGTTACCTTGTATGCTAGTTTTTATTTATTCGTACTTTTACGTTACTATTTTATTAGCTTCCGCATTGTGCACATGGTTACGTCACTTCCACGTGACGGCCAACATGCCCTGATCTCGATCGGGGTGTGTCATAGTATATTATATTTAGGTACGGACATTTCAGTACACTAATTTAGTATAATATATTTAGGTATGAACACTTCAGTACACTAGTTTAGTATCATATATTTAGATACAGAATTTTCTATACATTTATGTTTTTGCATATTTTCTTATGTGCAACTAATTCACTACAATGTATTTAGATACTACAATATATTTAGGTACGAATATTTCGACACACTAATTTAATAAAATATATTATGATACGGACTTTTAGGTACAATAATTAAAAGAAGTTAAATAAAATTAATGAATTTAAATATGTATAATAATAATTTTAAATTTTAATGTAGTAACATTAATAAGATATCTATTAAATATTAAAATAAAAATATAATATGAATTTGAATTAACTACACATTCTATATATACTAAAAGCCGGTGGAAAGCACTGTTCATTAATAGTGCCGTTTCGGTTTTGTCCTTGATCTAACGCTCACTTTTTTGGCATTTTGAAGATGCTACATGAAATGTCGTTTTTACCCCTTTCCTTCATCTTTTTTGTTTTTCCCGCATGTTGCTCGGCTTGGCCGTTTTGCCCTTTTGATTCTAGGTATTTGTTTCCTTTTTCTCTCCTGACTTCCCCTCGTATGCTTCCCTGTAATCCCTGTCACCATCTCACCTTCGATCTATGTGGCACAAAACACAATAAAAAAACTATATATACCAAAAGCCGGTGGAAAAGCACTGTTCATTAACAGTACCGTTCCAGTTTTGCCCTTGATCTAACGCCCACTTTTTTGGCATTTTGAAGATGCTACATCAAATGTCGTTTTTACCCCTTTCCTTCATTTTTTTTTTCCCGGGTGTAGCTCGGCTTGGTCGTTTTGCCCTTTTGATTCTAGGTATTTGTTTCCTTTTTCTCTCCTGACATCCCCTCGCATGCTTCCTTGCAATCCCTGTCGCCATCTCACCTTCGATCCATGTGGCACAAAACACAATAAAAAATTATAAATAAATTAGTTGCATTCACAAAGTAATTATTAAAAATTTTAAGAAGCCCACCTGTCTC